CTTATCTCCCATCCTTCTTTTTTGTGTTTGTTACTCTCTTGTAACACCTCTGATCTTCTGGCGCTCATATGACCTTATGCAGTTGCGAGTGCCGTAAAACTCTTACTAAAACTAAAACTAAAAACTGGCCACATGATCTCAATTAATTCATAACGACTCTACAACACAGCCATCCTGTACTATCATGTGTGTCTTTCTGTTGGGGTCTCCCGTCTGCCTTGAGCACTTCTCTTTGCTTGCTCTCCACTTAATTGGTAATTCATCTGTCTTTTCCGTATTGTATTGTCATTATCGAACAGGCCTGAAAGGCTTTCTACGCCTCGGCTTTCATTTCTTCTTTCTTCTCCTCTCTGCTCCGCACTACCTTTTTTTGCGGGCGGTAGTAGTAGGCCACTGGTAGGTCAGACCCGACTTGACCCGACTTGCTTTCTTTCCTTCTGCTGCTTCTGCTTGTCTGTCTTGCTTTTTCCTCTCCACTGATTATTTGTCAATCATACTCATGTCGATGTGTATCTCTTTACTTAAATATACCAACCATGTCATTTATGTCCATCTTTAAAGAGATTTATGAATAAATAATGGAATTCAATTTATCCGTATATGTGTCCAAACATGCATACAGACATTATACGTAATGTACAGTACAATCGATGTTTGGCGGTGCTCTGGTGAGGTTTGCTCCTCTTCTTTCCTAGCAAACATCTATCGTCTTTATCTCTCCTCCCTTTTTTTGTGTATGTTACTCTCTTATAACACCTCTAATCTCCTCACTTATATGACCTACTTATTGTGTTGCAAGTGTCGATAACCTCTTACTTAAACAAAGGCACTAAACAATTATACACACATTTCATGTATAACATACTCAAGTTCATTTGCACCTGCGTACAGACGAACGGACTGACAGACAAACACACAGATCGACGTTCATATTTCCGACACACTGGCAGTCAGGCAGAAGGGCACGATGTGATATTCAGAACAACTTATTAATTAATGATGAATGTTTCATACGGCATCTGCCTATAAGAACGTATAGGCTGCTGCCCATCCTCAAGTTTGAAACGCTAGTCAGGATCATATCAGGGCAGCGCTTCGCACATGTTTTACACGCATTGATCTAATTTAGAACACGGAATTGATTTTTAACCCCTGGCCATGCCAGTTATTTTCAAACCTTGGTTTTTTTGCTTTTTTTTTTACTTTGTGTTATGTATAATTTGTTTTGTTTTTCCTTACTCATTTTAGACCTGGCCACAAGCTCTGAGCAGGAGCTGAGGACTCTGAATGCCGCCATTGTTAACATCCGGAAGTGGTTGCGACGACGTCACGAGACCCTGAAAGGCTTCCTCGATGTCACCAGTTCGGACAGTAATAAACGTTCCTATACCAACGAAGAAGTCAAGGTTAGTACAGCCGTGAGACACGCCAGGTCATGGCAGGCCACTTGGTTCATTGGTTTTAGCGTTAGACTCTAATGAATAAATCATAACATTGTTGGAGTCGCTTATTCTTCGCCTTCCTTTATGCAGGGGCAGCCTTGAAATAGTAATTATACTGTTTATTGCAGTGAAGAGCGTGAATTTAATTTTTAGAGAAGTATAGGGATGGTGCTATTAAAGGGGGGGGAAATGAAATGTTTAAAAAATGTGTGTACCCTTTGAATCTCCAAATGGTACAACTTATTTGATTTTTAGTAGATATTTTTACCCCTCCATCGAGACAATCTGAATTATTTAGGAGGCCAACCTGGACTGAGAGGGGTACAACACCCCAGCAGAAAGACCAAAACTCTCCCTAAACGGGAATCGAACTCAGGTCATCTGCATGTGACGGCAAAGCACCTGCTGCTACACCACGGACTCTAGTAGACAGAACTGGAAGTCTTTCTGGGAGCCCTCTTTGGCATACAATATTGTTTGCCTTTACACGATTTGCGCTTTTGGGTAGAAATCCGTTTGTTTTATATGATTGCACCCTGCGCCATTTGTCTGTTTTGTGCTATGTGAAGCATAGGTGTTTGGCTGCGATTTAATCCATTACATTTCGAGGTCACCTATGGGTACTTTCAACAGGCACACTGTCTTGGAGATGTCTTCTGTGTCTTAATCTGAAGTCGTTTTGTGTATGGTAGGTCTCATTTGATCAAATTAGAGTTTGTGTTGTCAGCTGACTCTTGTAAAATAAACACTGATGTTTGTAAATATTAAAATAAATAAATAAACACGTTTTTTAAATAAAAATAGTAACCCAACGAAAACGGTTCTCTGCGTAATCTATAAATACCACATTGTTTTGAACCCAGTTGTTAAAAAAAATCTTCACCTAATGGAAGATGGGATACCAGAAAGACGCGGCCCCTCTATGTGAAACTAGACAATAAATTATGGTGAAAGAAATACAGGTCGACAAGTAAAGTAAGTTACACGATGCGCGCAAGAAGGACAAGCAATCAACAACGATTTGTTTTAGAATAGAAAAGATCACAGAGGATCTTACTTCGCCAAATGAAGTGTAAAGTCGAGACGAGACCAGTCTCAAGAAAAAAGAGGACATTATCTTTAATATCGTCATTTTTCCTCTACTTCTTTTGTGTGTGTGTCACTTTCTTTGTGGGGTGCCTTGATAGTCGAAGCAGACTTTGTGCTGTTGAAGCTAGCGAGGTGAGAAGAGTAAGCCTGATTCCCCGCTTGGACTTATCTGTTGACATACACCCCTTGGCGCTCATATGGCCTTGTGCAGTTGTTAGCACCGTAAAACCTTACTAAAACAAGACAAACAAAAAAGCAAACAAAAGAGCAAAAACAAAAAACAAACATACGAAAGAGCACAGGGTAGTGAATGCACACCCTCGGAAACACGAGGAGTCACAACAGACAGCAAAACACCCATTTTGTCTTTGCTTTCGGTGTGACCGGCATTTTGCGCATTGGTTTATGTAGTCGCATTACTAAGATCAGAGGGCATCAATATATTAATATATAGATTAGTTCAGTGCAAACACTACGCTTTGCGGTGGAGAACACACGGTGATGAAGAAGTCAGAATAAATATCTTCCTAAGCAATCTTTACGCCTTTGTACTATCTTTGCTTATACTCAGAGAATTATGATTACGAAGCCCAAGACGATTACGACACTGGCAGTAAAAAAGAAAAGGGAGGGGGAGAGGAAGAAGAAGAAGAAGAAGAAGAAGAAGAAGAAGAAGAAGAAGAAGAAGAAGA